GCAGAATGATAAATTCTATTAAATGTATAATACATCTTTTGTACAAACAATTACAACTACTCTCGTTTACAATATTAATTAAAATGTTTAATAGCATGTTTTGTTAATACAATGAGGCAATAGTTCAAACAATAACCGAGCTATATAATGAAAATTGTAAAGTCTTTTAATATTTTATTTTTTCATAAGTCCAAATTTTCTTTCGAAATTTTATCTTAGCTTGTGCATATTTTATGTACATTGTCATCTAATTTACGCGAGATTTTAGGAAGTACTTTACCGCATTCAGTTGGGGAATAGTACGTACATATATGAACCTTTCCCAGGTGCTTTTAATATTTATGCTCTTCGAGTCCAGCGCTCTCTCTCTCGGACTGAATTTAGGGTTCGCTGTAACCTTTCGCTATGTGCTTCCTTGCAAATGGATTATTTTAAACCTTTGTATTAAACCACAGAACGGTTAGAATACACGATAAAGCTTGCAACGGTACATATTATATTAATGATGCTTTTCACGTTGCACCATTTTGCAAAATATAGCTCCATTAAAATAACAGGTTAATGGCTATCGGCCATCCAGGTGACATATAAAATATTTTCTCGTTAAGATAAAAGATTCCGGCCTAATAGCGTGCAACGGATAAATAACGGATATTATTGCGGTCGAATAAATCGGTTATATTTACATTTAGATGCCATAAAATTCGGTTTAACAAATACTGCCGCAAGTTTGCATACTTAAAAAGAAATATACTAATATCAAATCGTATGTAATATCATAAATTGTACACAAGAATTTTTAATTACGATAAATCATCTGTAATTATTCCAAGTTTATGTGTGCGTGCGTATTTATGTGCATTTATATTAACACTAAATGTGAACATCAATCTGATTTTTAATTAGATAGACATACTTGTAACATTTTCTGAATAAGACGAATGAAGAGGCTGCATTTAGCTTCAAGTGCGGAACATGTCTTACACAAGTGACACACTGATTAATGCAGAGAAATTTATAATAGCAAAGATAACAATGATGAAAGATAAAACGCGCAAGCCGAGAGACACCGTTGCTTGAAATAAAAGAGTTAATCACATTTGGTCTTCTGGTCGTCTCTCTCCATTCTATTTTCCAGCGTTCTGCACTGTAAGTTCCTGCAGAAAAATTTTTCCCTTCATTTCCTATGCAAATTTCCCGCTACCTTTTTCAGTGTGTATATGTAGAAATACATTACATATATTCCGTTTTGCTGTTTCGTTGTTTGCAAAACACTATGTTTGTGCGTTGTCTACATATTAAATAATATACGAAAGCAGTCCAATTCTCTCTCGCAGAAACACGTTTGCCATCAAATTTTTTTAGTGTTTGCAAGTTATCAAATTTAGTGTGATTTTTTTATACTTGCGACTAGCACCTGTTGTCCAATTTAATTTCTTCGCGTTCTGTTTGAATGACGATCGAAAGGAAATCGTGTTTAAACTAGGAAAACCGCTTTTTAAATCTTTTTAGTATGGTGTTACGTTCAAATACACAATAAAATTAACTATTGCGACGTTCGGCCCACCGCAGACGCGATTCGTCCGCTCAATTTTACGGACTTCCGTTCAACGAAATGCGAAAATGGATACCGGCCAAGTCGTATCAAACGTAAAATATTTTCTTATGAGATATGTCTTCTGATCGACTCCGCGGGATATTTCTCCACGATATATCCGTTCTGCGAGCAAACATCGCCGGTTTATGCTGCGCGGAATGACACGAAACGACTACCAAACCAGAGTAAGAATAGTTATACGCGTCGAAAAAGACATTTGAAAAACAATTTCTACATTTTAATTATTATGTCATTTCCATCGCCATGTGTGTTTACAACACGTTGATTTAGAAAAGACTATTCTTCATGAAAGTAAATTATAATGTTTAAGCGAGTAAAGCCAATTTAGGTTTATCACACTTTAGATATTACCGTAAATACTGTAAATATTTCTTGATTTATAAGTAAGAAATATTTTATGTATGACGATGCTCTCTATTCGGTACATATATGTTTCCTTATTGTGAGAGATGGCGGCGTGACAAAGAGGTAAGAGATGTGTGGTTATCAAGGGGGATCTGAACGTCTTTGGAGTTCACGATCAATTCCGGTCACGAGTCCTACAATCATCTCGCGGCACAGTCGTCGGATTATTCTGGCTGACGGCGCTTCTTGGTGGCTTTCAGGTGGTCCGAATCGGGCGGAAGTACGTACAGTAGTTACCGAGCGTTATTGACGTGCCGTAGTTACTAGCGTCGTGTGTAGGTAGGTGTGTGTGTGTGTGTGTGTGTGTGTCTGTGTGTGTGTCGCAGTTACTGGCCGTAGCAAGTTTTCGTTAGTTACTGTCCGTTATGAGCATCGAGTACGTACTAATAGTTGTCGACATTGAGTGGTTTATTGATGTCACCAACTTTATAACGCCTAATTTGGCCGAGATAGGCAGGTATGTGTCTCCCACTCCGCGCCAAGTGTTTGTAATTAAACGCAGTATGATGGAGGTCGGGCAAATGAGAATATTCATTGTTTAAGCTTTTAAGCCGATATCGCACGATAAAATATGGACTCTTTAATATGGAAGCGCGGATTTTATGGCAATAAAATAATTGACTCAAAAATGCCTTGAAATGCAAAAAGCTTTATTATTATGTATTTTGCAAAGAGCAATAAATCTGAAAAATGTGAAAAATGTATACAGAAATGCGAAAATGCACACATCGATATAGTAGCGGTACTTCTCGTAAAGAAATGAAATTCTATTTGTGAAAACATGTGATTGTCGAAAACGTAAAACGTATATTTACTGCAGTACGTAACTGCATCATCAAAAAAGTTACTAAAACTTCACGTATGGTATCTCAATAAAAGCCAGGTTTATATAAAGCTGAAATGTTCAAAAATGTAGCAACTATGTTTTTATAAAAGCTCTATTTTTAAACTTTACTATATTTTCGTGAGAATGCAACAATTTTATTTGTAGTTTTACAAATCTCATATTTATAGAAAAGAAATCAAAGTTTTCCACTGCAAATTGCGATAACCGTTGTAATGTGATTTCGCTAAAACTTTCAGATACTAAAACATTTATCTGTCAAAAACACAAATGAAAGCAATTTTATTTATTGCTATATTTTTAATTCGTATTTATACTTCTACAAAGTATACATTTTACTAAATCTTGTGGAAAGTACTGCATCTGCGAAATATACATATATGTACGTACGTATTCTTTTACATCTGGGATTATTATTTTCAAAGTAACAATTACGTATATAGAATTAAGATATAAACCGTTAATGTAATAACGAACACTGTGGGTTGGGGAGCGAGTTTATGCGCGTAGTTACTGTTTGTATTCTACGACATATCAGTAGTGGATCGCCATGTCGGACAGTAGTTACTAACCGTTATGAACGGACAGTGATTACTGTTCATTATATACGGACAGTAGTCACCGAATGTTATGGCTAACAGTTGTGACAGCTGAGTTGGCAATTTGTATTCCAATAACCGAGCACAATGTATGTAAAAATAGCGACAAAATATTTTCCTTTTGACGTCATCTACAAAAGCAAATAAAAAGGCTGAAACTATCTATATTAAATAACAAAAAGTGATATAAATTAATCAATTATCAGACTCACATTTTTGTAATATATATTTCATTTTTCTTATACAATACTATTCCAGTCCCATCGATTTTTCCACCAATTTGTGGTCAACTTTTTATCAAAAATTTTATATAAACATTGTACATTTAACATGAACTTTATACGCGCATAGTCTTAAAATTCTTCAATTGCTTCATTCTTTCACTCTGACAGATTAAAGGAATATTTCATTCTACGATTCAAAGAATCCCGCACAAATCTTATGGAAAATGGGTCTCGGTCAAATTGCTTCAAATTTTAATATTTGTAGCTCATGTCAAGCTGATTAAAAGTTCTCACAGGCGCAAACCTCCAAATGCCTTAGTTTTTGCTCCAGGACCTTTGTAAGATCATCACATCTTATACGGAAAAATAGTCAAAATAAATCTTTTTTACTATACTTGTGCATGTATCAATGTGCATCTGCAAGTGTATATTTATGATTTTAGTTTTTCGCCCGTTCTTAGAATTACCCAGAATGAACGACAAGACGGGCGTTTCATTCCTTTGGGGTGCTTGATTTTCGTGAGTTCCCTTGCCTTTCACGTATAATATAATTATTCAAATCCTTTTCTTCAATTACTCACTTTAATATCAAGTAATTCTCGATTATTAAGATTTATTCATGGAGATTTATGTGCTGCGTCTAATACTGACTTTAATAGTGATATTGAAGGATGTGATACTTTTCTCGTGATATTATATCCGATATATTTTTCCGTAACATATATACAGTATATATCCATGATATCCATGAATATATTATACAGTATTCATAACTAATGTTAGTAAAAAAAATTTATTTTGACTATTTTTCCGCATAAGATGTGATGACCTTCCGAAGGTCCTGGAACAACTAAGGCACTTGGAGGTTTGTGCCCGTGAGAACTTTTAATCAGCTTGACATGAGCTACAAAATATTAAAATTTGAAGCAATTTGATCGAGATTTGATCCATTTTCCATAAGATTTGTGCGGGGTTCTTTGACAATTTGATAATTTCAAATTTTACAATATCTCATATTTGCAATTATTATAATTTTGCAAATATAAAAATTGTAAATGAATATTGGAGATTAAGAGGTTAATAGACGAGAGAAAAAATGATTAATGCACAACACTTATGCAATTTGATTAAAATTCAATTTTCTCTTAAGCAAATGAGATATTTGCCGAAATATTGTCTAGGAAGACGTAAGATATAAAGTAAAATCACTGCTATCTCTATTAAAGAGGAGTTTCTTTCTAATTTTATCACTAATTCTGCAAATAACACCGCCCACAATAATTATATCACCTTTACAAATCTCTTTTCAGGTGTCGTGGATCAAGCGGAAAAACGTACAAGAGTTACTGACCGTAGGACTGACGACGTACGCCAACGACGAGCGGTTTCAGGCAGTTCATTTCCACCACAGTGAGGACTGGACTCTTCAAATAAAATACGTCCAACCGAGGGATGCTGGAACGTACGAGTGCCAAGTGTCCACTCATCCGCCCACGAGTATATTTCTATCCCTTGAGGTTGTCGGTAAGCGTAAAGCTTTAGCACGGAGTTAATCACCGACTATATATCAATCGTTATATACTATTCGCAATCAGTTGTGTTCTTTTATTATAACTATAAATCATTTTTAATGTCGCTTGTATTATATTTCTTTTATAAATTATTATGTTATATTATTGTAATTTGTTTTACTTGGGTAGTAACTTCAAATTTACTCTAATAATATTACTTCAGTTCTTATATTTTACGTGCTTTTGGAAAGATCTCAAGGATAATAATGAATAAATGCGTTTAAAAAGAAAAATTATACTCTACATTAAGAAAACTTTTACAACAAAAATATTCAGCTCGTAAATTGTGGTGCTAGTATTCTTGACGATTCACGACATAGCTGTAAACAACTAAACTGAATTAAAAATTATTTTTTTTGCAACAAAAAAGCACGCCATCTAGTATCTCGCTATTTTATTTTTTCAGCATTTTTTCCACGTGCTTTTTTTATCATCATCTTCTTTCATTTAACTCATGCATTATTATACGAAACGTGCGCGGACAATATGTACACAAATAAATATATATAGCGCGGTGAACAGTGTGCGTCAATGTGTGAGAAAAATGCACAAAGTTTGCCGTGTGCGGTCACACTCATATGCATATCTTGCTGTGAAAGATTCTAGATTCCTGTGAAAAGAAGATCGTGAAAAGTATCATACGCGAAGGAAAATGCCGCGATGCTTTTGTTCGTCTGTGATAAGAGTGCGTCTATAGCAGAACCCTCTTTCCCTCCACTTATATATATATATATAATGTCTACTTAGAGGCTTTGACGATTTGTGCACTTTTGCAGATTTTCTAGATATTCCTTGTGTAATTTGTCTATCTTGCTCTCAGTCGAAAGGGTCACGATTTAAGCGCTTACGTTTTTCTTCCGGCTGAGACCCGCGCGAGCTGTCAGCTGGCGACAGGCATTTTTATTTAGATTTTATTAAGCAGCAAGCGCGCGTAGGGATCGATAGCACGAAAATACTTTCTCGTTGTTGTGTTGCGGGAATTTCGCGAAATACGCTCTCGATGCGACTGCCGCTCACGGTGCACGCGCGCCAGCCAGCCGCATATTTGCATTTAGATACGGCTTTTTCCGGCGCGCATCTCTTCTACGCGCGAGGCTATCTAATTTCCTCGGGATTTCGGTGCCCTTTTTTCGACGTCGCACGCCTCGGTATTACGCGGCTTCGCCACTCTTTTCCTTACGATGCTTTCGATATTTATGCCTTCGCAACACGCGCTGTTGAGTCCGTCCCTTTACTCAGCCATTTGAGCTTTAGTGCTCTACGTAGTCCTTGCACATGATTTAAGCAATTTTTCCGAGCGATAAATTTCGAGTATAAAGGCAATACCGCACTAGATTATCTTCAAATATGTTACAATGTTTGCTAGTCAATGATAATTTAGAAAAAAAAATTATTTTTTATATTTCAAGATACATAGTATGAATTGGATAGATTATGGCAAATGTTTGCAATATTTTAAAAATAAAAACTGGACTATATTGATAAAAGTTATACTAGTATATTGATATTTATTTATATTGTGAAACGTATGAAAAATAGTTCGGGATAAAACAAAAATTTTTAAGATATATAACAGAAATATTTATTATATATATATATTTATATAAATCTAGATTCTTTTTAATGCATGTTCGAGTAAAACCTTTATAAACTACGTTATGTCAACCACGTCAATACCTCGTTTTGTACCGGCGGATATTGCTTGAAGCAAACAATATTTCAGAAAGTTAGTATCAAAATCTTTGTATGTATGCAACGAAATTAAAATACGCACAAAACACAACGAAATTAAAAAGTAAAAGATGATCTTATCTGCGTGAGAGAAATTTTTTAAAAGGCAATATCCTGTCTGCTACAGGTGATGCTATTTCTGAAGGGAAAATTTTTCTGTCACATAAGAATGCTATTTTATTGCAATTATAATATCTTTAGAAAAATTATGGTACAATATCTCTTTCTCAGAGATAGGTTTTTTTATTTAAATTTTCTCCGGGAAGAATTTTGAAAAAATGTGTGAACAAATTTTCAAAATTAAAAATTGTGTGAAACTTTTCTGTGCTCTGCGATACAATTGGTAAACATAGTATAGTTAATTCTATTTGTCAAGAATGTTTGTTGCACACTTTTGTTGATCCGCAGTTAATATTATTTTTTACCATCATATAAATGATTTAATTATTTTGATATTCTACTACAAAATATTTTAGAGTTATCTAGAATACATCGTCATATATTTTGTCTACGTTATTTTCTCGGCTTTTTGTTTTTGCTTTTTATTCTACGCCGAATTACATTCGCGTATATGGGCCTTTCTTACTGCTACTTTCATATTTATGTATTCCCAGTCTGGTATACCTCGGATACATTTCCACCCTCACACGTGCTTTTTCTATCAACCTTAATATCCTAGAATGGGGGTGAAAACAATTTAAATAATTGAATCAAGTACGGCGGATCAAGTAAATAGGATCATATTTTACATTTTAATTTTATTTCGTATTTATGTCACGTTGCACACATGAAGATTTCCATATTGATCAAATTGATTTTACATTTCGTTAATACAATTTACGTGAAGCAAAAATTTGCAATAGAAAGTAGATGTTACAAAAACAAGAAATCTAATTTAATTTTTGGGATTGTTACGACCCACGCATAAAAAGTGACGCGAAAGGCAACACAAACAGCTATACGTGAAAAATTTACCTTAATAAGCATTATTTGAGCCCGTCAACTAGCAAACTTTAATCGAGTTGATTTAACGCTCTGATTGTTAATAGGGATGTTTATAAATAAGACAATCTGATAACATAATTTATGCAATACATACTATGATATATACTATATGCTAAATATATAAGTACATATTTTTTTAATACATGTATTATCCAAGTTACATCTCTAGGATCGCTTATTTTCACAGGATGATTCGCTCGCGCTCTGATTACGCTTTCCTGTTTGTGTACCGAGGTTAATTTATGCCAAGTTGTTTATAATGTGTACTCTAATTCCTGACAGTACATATTTTATGTATGCAGCACCGTAATTTTCTCGAGATGTAGGTCCGTGTTTTTGCTCGATGTGTTTTGGCGCGCTACACGAAACTAAGGTCTTTTCTTACGTGCCTTTAATATTTATAATTTTTATTCTAACCCTCTGCAAAATTTAGAAGGTCCTCCTATTGACCTTTCAATCGTATTAAAGTACCAAAAACAAGGATTATCCGATGAATTGTGCATCAACAAGTATTAGGCTGCTTGGTGAGATTGACAGAAGCATCTCTATAAGTCTTCACTTCCATAACATTTAAGTTGCAATCTTGCGATCCAAATGACAGAAATTTGCTCAGTTCGAAAATTAATTATTACGGCGTTAATTGAATAAACTTTATTTAAATTTCCATTGGCGAGTTAATTAAATTTAGCGTTAGATTTAATAAAATTATAAACAAAACAAAACAAAACAAAAATCAATTTATGACATCTGTAATGAATTTCTATTAACTTCTGCAAATTGATATTTTATTCAATTTATTATTAATTTAAATTTAAGTAATGTAAAATGAGTTATTTGAATTGCTTTTCTAAATATTATACAATAATCCCGGAGTGGCAGTATGCTTTGTCATTTCTCTTTTGATTACTGAAAACATAATAAATATGTCGTATCTGAGAAACGTAAAGTTGCACGGCTAACCAAATTGTAATTTCTGAGAACCGGCAGTCTCATGAAGAAAATTGAAATAAACCTGTCGAAACGCCTATATATCGGTGCGCAAGTGAATAGAAAAGATCCAGTTGAGGTACACTAAGAATGAGAACTCAGAAGGAAAGGTGAATTTAATGAAGGCAGCGAGTTGGATGGAATCCGGTATAACTTTCGAATCAATATGATCGTGATATTGTCTTTGAAATGAAGATAGTTTTAAACTCGGCCTTAATGAGCTCTCATTAAAATACAATCGACGCGCAGAGCGAGACGCGCGGCACTCCCATCCATTTATTCTAACTCTGAGCATATTTTGTCCTTAGAGGATTACCTCGGCAGTTCTACTCTCCCCCTTTCTTCTCTACTCCCCCCCCCTCCACTCTCTCTCTCTCTTGGCAAAACCACTCCGATTTGATCATCCGATAACGGCACATCGTCCTTAAGCTTCCAATAACCGGCGCGCGATATTATGTTCCGCGGCACTTTATAAGCCGCCCAATTCCTCGCGCGTAACATCTCAAATTTCTAATTTACACGGGCTCTCGGTTTCCCATTTAATTACAAGCGGCATGTAGTACGTCTGATAAGTCGCGAATGATACGCGAGCATATTGCCGCACATCAATGTTATTAAACGGCGCAACGCTTCTTCTGAACGCTCGACTGAACGACTTTGAATTATTAACTTTTGGCGGGCCGATGCTATTTCTCGCATAATATATTTTACGTCACGTTGCGCGATATTTATATCGGTTTTATTATGCTTTTATGCAGACGAGATGGGACAGCAACGTCGTTCATTAACGTTCCGCATTGAGATTTTACTCCGCGTTATGTGAAAATAATGTCCAAAAATAACAGGAATAAAGGTGGATTTTCTGCTATTATTTCGCTTTATTAATTTATTTAAAAGAAATCATAAACCAGATTTAAAGAGAGAGAGAGACTCCAGTTAAAATTGTTTATATATGTAATAAATACGACAATAAATACAAAAATAAAATAGAAATTACAAAATATTATTTACAAACTTTTGTCAAATAACACGTTTGTGCATTATTGTGTAAAATTGCTGCAAAAATGTTGTTTCCTAAAAAACAATTCCCTAAAACCTATTCAAATAAAAAAAGTATATTATTTCATGATATTACTCTTTTATCAATTAGGCTGTATATCCAAATCTCACTTTTTAATAAACAAAATTTTTTGATAAACTATAATTCAATAATGTCGAAAGCAAAATTTGTTATCGATATCAGATAAAAGTCTGTTATATTAAAATATTTTATGCTATTTACAGTGTGATCGCGAAAAGCAAAAGAATTTCTCGTTGTTAAGAGAACAAGAGATATGGCAGATAAAAAAATCAGTGTGAATTAAATGAATGGGAGGAAAAAATTTATCGCAAATCCGGAGCAAAGTCCGCAGCCGGAACGTCGAATACTTTTCAAGAATGGCATCGACATCCTTTATCGCGACAAAGCGAGGGTGACCCGCGTAAACGTTCTGTAAAGGTTGTCAAAAAATCGTTCGGGCAAGGGACAAGGGCGTACGCTCTAGCGAATCGAAACTACGAGGCAGAAACTCCACAGGAACCGACGCCCCATTCACTCGGAGGGAGCCCTCAGACCGCGCGCAAACGTTTCGAATCACATCTCGACTATCGTTCGCGGCCGTTCGGCCGTGACAGTAGCCGACTAGTAGTAAAAGTGTATCTGGGCTGGCTGGTGCGGGTGTCGGTGGCGTGTTTACAGTGTGTTCCCCACACACACCTGATCCTATAATGCCCCACCGCCGGCGCGCGGCGTGTCAGGTCGCGTCGAGTGAAAGGGTGAAACGCGCCGGGGCGTGAGCGGACTTAAAATTCGCGGAGCCCTCGCGCAAGATACCGCAAGACGTGAGTCATCTCGACAGTATTTCTCAAAGTCTCGAGATCATGAACGCCTGCGGAAACTTTTATTAAGTTAAAAAAATTCTCCAGCGTCATGAAACTCAATCGACGATTGTTGCAAATATTCTGTATGTGTATAATAGAGTGTTGTCGTCATTGTAGATAAATATATTAAAGGATTTAGAACACACAACACACACACATTTAAATGTTAAATTATATAATAATTGTAATTGAAACGATGCTGAATATTTTAATGATCGTATGAATAATTCATTTTTTAGAAATAACGAAAATACACACACAAAAAAATATATATATATGATATATTAATATTTGTAAAAATGCCAACGGAGCAAATATTTTCCAAAATCAATCACAACTTGAAATGTTCGACATCTAATAGTGTGCGCTTCGCGAAAGTAGGTAACCAATGCGGCAGATGTGAATCTTTTTCCGAAATGTGCAGCTGTCAAAGTATCGTATCACGTATTCGTATATAATCATTTTGAAACGCTACGCTGCAATCATGAATTTATCAATCCAATGTTTTTAGTTCAGTTTAAATATTTTGAGAGAGAAACCTGTGTCATACGCTGTTCCAATACTATCGATTTACAAATCGCAAAATCAACATTCATTGTAAAGGAATGAATAAACAGCTTCCATTTACGATGAAACTTGTTAAAATTCTGTGAGAGCACAAACAGTTGCTAACAGAAAGATATTAAAAGAAGATTATCCTTTCATGATTGATTCTATTCTTGATTGATTAACGTTACATGACAATAATCCGTGGCATGATATAAAGTATTATCGATACACACATGCAATTTTCAATTTTCAATTTTCATTAATGTGTGTGTCGTTTTCATTCCAATGACTTCATTAAGTCTAATTAAAATAACTTTCAAATTATAATAGAATGTATTAAATTTCTATGACTTGTATAAATGAATATCGAGTATCGATTGTTGGCTATTTATCAAATTAATAATCCTTTTGATATGATTATTCTAGGAAATATCGTATTACATATTATCGTATTACGTCGAGTGGTAACTGATAAAGTAATTAAATCTCTAGTAAAGCGGATTGTGAAATTCATAATAATACTACGAACGTAGTTGTTTTATACGCGCTTTGAATAGAAACGGCAGTAGTTGGTAAATGGCCGCTCAGCGTTAAGTCGCCGATAAATTAGAATTTCCGTGAATGGTAATATTCATCACACGTGACAACTATTCTGCGGAGAAAAACTACTCTATAGGGCATACTGTTCCGTAGAACACCGTCTAATTGAATACTTAATTGATAGACAATTTACTCAATGGAGTGAATTGTTCGCGAAATTAATTACCTTAAGAGATTCGCCTCATCGAGCAATTAATCATGATAGAAAATGCGTTTCCTTGAATTACATTGCCCAATAAAAAGAACTTTCTTAGACTTGCAAAATTTTAAGCTTTTTCCTTTTAACGTTGCAAACACGTGACGGATATATCTATTATATTTCCACGTCCACCGCATTTACCACGTTAATTATCTGTTTCAAATTTATTATTGAAATAAAAGACTTGAATGTCCGCTTTTGTAAGAAAATTCATATCGAAATCACAATCAACGGTTTAACTTTTCTCAATATCCTATTCTGAATGTTACAAATGCACTTGGCACTCTGCTAATGGAAATAGCAACATAGCGGATCTCCCGCTCTAGATGAAAAGTTAATTATGCAATCGGACTGCTTTCACATAAATACTGCTTATAAACGTGTACACATGTACATTTCACGCGTTAATTGTAATTTTGATATTATTGGATAAAACGTCGCGTCATATCGTTTCCGATGAATCACACCGCTGCGGCAATTACATCAATTGCCTATTACGCAAATCTCGTAGACCAAACATCATTGGGGTTTCCCTCGTCAGAGAGAAATATTCAATTACAATCATTAACAAATTACGGCATACTTGGTCATTATGATTGCTAAATTATGGAAACAATTGTGGGCGGCTATTTTGCAAAGCTATTCAAATGCAAAGCTATCAAAATCAAATTCTGAAGAAGCTAAACTTGGAAAGAAACAAATAAATTATATTATTATTGTTGATTTATACTTGTTGCTTGAATACAGCTAATTAAAATAAAATTTGAAACTTGCTGAAAAAGTATATTTTGTAAATTGCAGATTTGCGAACAGATTTTAAAGTAATCATAACTTTCAACAACTTTGCTAGCGGAATTACGTATCAGCATCCCGGTGGGACAACATTTTGAAGGAAATTTATCTTGGCGGATGACATAATCGCGAAGATCTTTCGAAGATAATCACGCGCTACGCCAATCTCCTTACCGCCGTTTGAGAAACCCTGGCGCGACGTGCTCGAGATCCTGTCGTTCCCCTAGCACGAGCTATCCCCTTTTCCCGACCCCAGGACGCGTAGTCTCGCACCCGCGGTAGTAAACAATACCCCGACGTCTATCCGGGGCTATAAGCGGCTCACGTCTCACGCGTCACGTTCGGCCATTTGCAGAGGCTAGAGCGGAGATAGCCGGCCCGGCGGAGAAATTCGTGAGGCCCGGAAGCACGCTGCAGCTCCACTGTCTGGTGAAGAAGTCCACGGAGGTGCCGTCGTATCTCTTCTGGTACCACAACTTCCGTATGATCAACTACGACGTCGATCAGGGCGTGAATGTCAGCACCGACCTCGCCAATCGGGAGAGCTGGTTGGAGGTGCCGAGGGCGTCGGACCGCCACTCGGGCAATTACACCTGTAAGGCCAGCAACGCCCAGCCGGCGCGCGTCCTAGTGCACATCTTCAAAGGCGACAATCCGGCGGCCATGCAGCACAGCATGGCGTCGTCACCGTCAATGATGGCCTGCACGGCGCTGCTCACCATGTTCGTCACGCTCAAGCTTGCGCTGCAGACAAACTGGGGCTTGTGACGTGCGTGAGTGTAAAACTTTGCAAAAGTTGCGGAGGTATGTTAGCGAAATTGTGTAATATTGTCGTTTGTCGTGTCGCGTGACCCACGTCGCGGATCGTGCTGTGAAAGTGCGCTAATTTGACCGCCGAAGTTGTAGAAACGTAGCGATACAGTCATGGTGGTTTCAGTTGAAGGGAAGACCCATTGCTGTTATTGGACCGATAGCGTCGCAACTCTCTCTCTCTCTCTCTCTTTCTCTCTCTCTCTCTCTTCTCTCTCTCTCTCTCTCTCTCTCTCTCTCTCTCTCTCTGAGCTGAGCTGTAAGATTGGCTGTGATTGATTACTATCCATTCGAACGATCAGCCCTTACTCGATGCCGAGTAAAATAGCATCGGAGGACCAGCTGTGATTATTTGCGCCATCGAGCGACCATTTAATCCATTCTACGCGCGTTTAATTGCTGTTCAACGAGAGAAACACGTTACAATATAGTATGCTAATGCGAAACAGGATAATGCCATTACTGCGAGATTAGTTATGACCAATCAGTATTCAATCGTCTGCGAACTGATGAAAAGTTTCTAATCGGGAAACGTTGCTTGCAACGGAGAACAAGAGTGTAATAGCTCGTATATTCGTATGTACTCGGGCGGTCATCTGTCGGACCAAAAAACTTGGATACCAGCCTGGAATAAAGTGCCATCATAACTTCCAGATGAGTCGCACTATATCATGCATTCTTCTATCGATCGATCGCTTTACATTCCGTGTCACATGTTGGAGCGAGAAATATTAGGTCGTAATGCAGAGGTAGATGCTATCGGGAATGCTGGATTAACTCTCGCTAGATCATGTTCACGATCGATCGTCTACGACTCGCATGCTTAATGGAAAAAAGGGAAGAATGGCGCTGCGAACGAAGACAGGCTCATCAATCCGCAAACTGATACGGGGAGTTCGACGCCCCATATGACTTCGATGCAACTCCAATAAGCTGGGACTTGTATGGACGTGAATGTGAAACGTACGAGAGAGTTGTTAGAGAGAAACTCTGTATGTGATTTATCCATGCTCACATTTTGTCGGACAATGTGACGCATATGTAATTAAGCGTTAAGTTTAAGTAGAAAAAGCATACGCGCGCGCGTGACAGACACTTCATTGAGTGATAAGATACTCGTCCTACTTGTAGTGCGCGTGAAAGTAAGATTGATAACGCGGATTGATAACGGACTATTTGCGGTGCATCAAATTACGATGCGTGAGCATCAACAGTAGCTTCGACAGTACATTACACAGAAGCAATGATGATGATGCATTCGCATTTACAGTACGCCATCGCTAATCGCACGATGCCGCTGCCGCTTCGACCTGAAATACGCAGTAAACACGTTGTGGAAGAAACATGACTCTGAGAAGTTACGAAAGTCTTAACGTCTTTTCTCGCGTGCGGCCTAAGATACTGGCAGGACTTTAACGAGGGTTAACAAGGGTTGGTGTGCAATATTATCTTTCTCCTAATACTGTGAGTAACAGTTTGACAGGTAGTGAACGCAGGTGAAAGTACTCTCGAGACTAAACACACAAACTGAGTTTGCTATTGTGTGCTCTGTAAAACGACGCTCGCAAGCGGCGCGCTCAGACAAGCGAATATTTATTACATTATAAAATGCGAAACTATCGTGCCAACTTCTTTTATAATTAAAAGTTCACAGAAAGTCAGTTTAAGAGAACTCGAAGCTTGAACCGCTCGCATCGATAAGTAAAACATATTTGTGTTTGTGGAAAAAATGTATTTGTTTGTATATAATGATTAATCAAATTTAATAATTTTTTTAAACGTTATTAAGATTTTTGCAAAATTCTTATTCTTCAGTTACGGTATTGTCAACATTGACGTAAATTCTTCTATCAAAATTTACGAGCATAATAAATCATTGATTTGAAATAAATATTGAGTTAAATATATGAGTTTGACATATATAAGTTACATTCCAAGTGTTACGTCATATTTTAACATTTGTGGAATATAATTTACTCATTATTTATGAATTTAAATATTTTGTTAAACTTATTGTTGAATAGATTTTTATTGGAAAAGAATTAAAATATTTGCAATACGTAAATGTGCGTGCAAAAACAAAACACAAATTTAATTAACTCGCGTCTTCCTGGCGTCGAGGACGATACGTTCGGCTTAAATAACGTTATACGTAATTAATGGCGATAATAAGTACAGCACAAATCTCTCACATTGTTCATTTCACCCTCGACTTGAAACATTAGGCGCGATGTTCGCACAATATCTTACCTTTCGCTCAATCCTCGAAAAACGGTGACAATATTCCTTTTTCGAGCACACAAAAGAACTCTTCGATCAAATCGACGAGTATAAGTCGCACGTACTTTCAAGCGAGCTATCCGATGTGATCGATGTGATCGATGCTTCACGCAAAAGTACGATGCGCGCACTTTCTCGATAATAAAATGATAATTATTTGATCAATCTACGATAAATACCGATGAATAACGATATTTTCGCGTTGCTGCACTGCCAGTTCGTCGGCGTAACTTTTCGCAATGCCTACGACCTTGTACGACCCGGAATTGCTAACCTTGCACGCACTTCCGATTGAAAGTGCAAGCGCTGGCTGCCGATAATCCTTCCGCGCGAAAACTGACACTGACAAATTACGGAGTTTAGAACTTGTTAATCTTGATTATCACCCTCGTCACACCGCCGTCGCACTGAAGAGCGCGATGAAAAATTATCGGTGCAAACGGCCGTGCAAACGGACGAGCGAAGCCCGGAAAAGTTGCAAAGTATATATGTGCGTGTTTTTGAAAGTTTGTTCTAAAGCTGACGGTAAACTGTAGACTGCTGGAATCACTGAATTTAATGCACAGCCTTTGCTCGGAAGTTGGCGCAGCGCGAGCGAACTTGAGCCGACTCTCGCTGAAGAGAAAGAATTAATTAACTGACTTTACAAACTGACTTTTCCCGGTGTTGCGTGTTTTAGAAATACATTCGAGTTTGTTGTCAGGAATCTAAAGAACAGTAATAGATTTTGGATCTTTAATCATTTTTTTGTCGAACAGTAGTTGCTTCACGTTTCGCGCAGGAATAATTGAATAATTCCTTTATCACGAATTGCGTTTAAATGTTCTCAAGACAAAATGGCGCTCGCAAAAAATTCACCTATTGAAAAAAAAAACAGATTAATTTTATTTCTCACAAAATTGCAGAAAACTATCAATCATACATAAATAAATTATAAAATTATCACAAAATTCTTAGAAATTCTTCAAAAAATAATTTATCAACTATATTAAAAGAAACACATAATGCAAGATCGCATTATGATCATTAGACAGGTTTTGTTTCAATCGATCTTATTGCAAGATAACAATGGACCTTGGGAGTCAACAATCAATATTTATAAGAAATATTCATGTGGAAGGAATGTCTAATTTCCAACAGCTTGGCAATTTCCATCAATCGGACTCAACTCGAGTGAATTCAAACCACATCTGAATGTAAGCGAAGCACACGCACAGAATAATCTTGTATATTCGGTCTACGTAGCCGGTGCACATAATTAATCGCGATAATCCTGGCGTGATGCAGCGCAGCCTAACGATATTATCCTACGTCGCTGCGCCGCTGACCTTGTTTATAACATCGAAATTAGTTATACCCAACGTTCACGAGAGATCATGTATCGGGCTATGAGTTGCAAGGAACATTTCCCAACGGATTTCAGCGGATCGTCGCGCATGAGACGCGTCGCTCGCGTTTAACCTTGGAGCGTCGCGCTGGGAATAGAAACAGGTGGCAGCAGGATTTTGTACTAATAAATGGCACCGGAAAAAAAAGAAGAAGAAGAAGAAAAACAACATGTCTTGCCGTGTGAGTTTTATATCCGGTGCGTATTAGTTGTTACGCGCGCGACGCCCCGGTTGCGATTTCCGCGCTCGTCGTTTTTTTCTCCCGCCCGCGCGCTTCCGCCCCCGTCCCGCGTATATCAGTGGTGAAATATCGTGGAAAATATGTCGCGCTGGATTTATTCGCTGTCGAAGCAGCAGGCTGACGCGATCATGCCCCGTTGTCCGTTTTTTGATGATTGCTACCTTTTTTTTGTGTTTTGCCGAGAAGCAAAATCCGCACTAGATCGCTTCGATCTACTAGACCTGTTTCGCGAAATAAAAGTGGCGGTTGTACCGCTGTCCGTTCACGATGATTGATACTTTTTTGGCATTTTGCTGAGAAACAAAATCCCTGTTGTACCATTTCGATCTAGTGAACCCGTGTCACTAGATAAAAATGGCATAGCGCTGGTCGTTTCGAAGGGTTTACCTTTTATAACTCATGAACCTTTCTGAATGACCGGTTCAATCAAGTGAGTGATCAAAACGCATCACAAATAATCACCAGAGAAAGGAATTTATGATAGCCGTAAATTGTTCTATCTTTCAGCAAGCGCGAAAAGCGGAGAAGGGCGGTGTGTCCGGCAGTGCTGCGAGTTTAAATACTTGTTTCATTTACCTCTGTCCTCCATTAATTCATTATTACTGCAATAGGCGTCCCCAGAGGCCATATATCGTACATATTTTCGACGGGAATAATCCCTCGCACTGCGAATGGCACTCAACGAACGTACCATTCAGCGCCGTTGAATGAAGAGTTCTCGCTGATGTGTGAAAATCCGCGCAGTGGCTTCTCCCGTAGATTAAGGGACACGTGTTAATGACTGGACAATGCTAACGGAAAAAGATCGATCGCTCGACGAGCGATTTCAAGTAACTCTAAACGATAATATCTCTGTAACTACGTCGTCTGGAATATTGTTTAATCATTAAGCGTATAATAAATGGTTTAAACAATCATCTACCGATCTCTTGATTGCAAGTTATGTAGATATAGATACAAATATATCCTTGTGTCATATTTTTAAAATTTGTCTGAATAATTATTTATTTTTGATTTGTCAGAAAATCTTGTTTTTTTTTTTATTCTGCCATTAATTAATCATAATTAACAATTTATTGCAAAAGAATAATTCTTTTTTTATCTGAAAGCATGAAATGGTATATTAAATAAGTTAATACAAGTATTAAATTTACAGATATGAAATATTGTAAACTGTAAAATATGATGACAGGGTGTATTACAAGGCTCAGATTATTTACAAACATTCTGATAAGTATCTTCAGTAAATGTAATTGTGTTATATTGTAATATAAAACATCGACCTCGATAATATCAGCGTGCTAATGACATTGTTTACCACATTAAAATTAACGTTCAACCAACGCAAGTCGATTATTATGCTACGCTCGAATGGCACACAGGTGGATAACGTTCTCATTAATTTACGAAAGGAGATCCTTATCGCCAGACAATTATGGTTCTGAGTGGTTTGACGAAACTTGAGCTCACCGTCAATTTGTGGTCCTAAATTTTTAACGACAGGTTGACTTATGATTATTGCTTCAACATATCTATTAACAAGTTATAATAACAATAAACTTAAAATTCAACAAAGCGCTGAAGTACAATTGTTTGTTCTATAAAATTTCAAATTTTTACATACAAAACGGTATATGCAAATATACAATTAAAATGCATATTCGCAGTTAAACTTAATGCTATTTTAATTAAACAATATTTAGCTATCGGATTTGACTATTTCAAAATTCAAATAATCTAATGTTGGTATAAATTTATTGCTTAATTGTTGAAAGATCTAATAGTGTGTAATAGAATCGAATAATTTGTTATTCTTATTTCCTATAAATGCATATTTAAATATTTTGTAATTATTTCGGTGATATGTAAAAAAAAAAAATATTTAAGTGTTTGTTTACATAGTTTCATTCCAAAACAGAAGAATCACAGATGTGCTCATTTGCAAGGTAAGATTCAAGCATAATAACTTTTATAGAATAATTTCGCTATAATCTCTCGTCCTTGTTCTGTCTGTCTGTCTCTCTTTGTACAATTATGATAACCGTTTGATCCTATAGATATTCCTATTAGATTAAAGCCCCTCCTCCTCGTATGTTATTCCATAAATGCGAATACAGTGATGAAACTGTCTGTAACCAACAGCGCTCTGATTACCTTGAGAAAATCAAATTTTCACTATTATGTTCAACGAAACGTAATCTTATTCACAGAGTTGAAATTGAAATTTCAATTCTGAAATGCACCATTGCGATTGGGTTCGTATATTCTAATTACGATTGAAATTATCTGCCCGTTCGTCGTTTTGACGAATATAATTCCCGACACAATTTCGATACATATTTCGATAATTCATTTGACCTTTGCATGTTCTACATTTACAACTAAATGTATGGCTATCTATAATTGTAATTTTTACTGTGAATTTTCATATAAACGAGTAAAATATTGTTTAAATCGAAAAAAAGAATGAAGTAATTTTTATATCTTTATTATTTTTACGCGTGTATAAAAAAACATAAAAATCCCTTATTATATCCAGAAATTGTGGAAATATCTAATTAATTTTTGAATAAGCTTTATCTCACTCTTATTTATTACATAACTATAAGTTTGAATATGCTACAAGCTTCCTTGATCTAAGTAATTTAAATTTATACTTTAGAGTCACAAGTTTCCTGTCTGGAAACATGAAATTCTTGTGTACAAACTTCATGTCACTTTGCGAGCAGTATGCCATGCTCGTTCGTATAAAATATTTAAACACACGTACACTTTTATTAATTAAAAAATTTTTATTATTACGGCATATGCGTTTCAAATATCTAAAACAATGGATTAAATGTGAGTAATAAGAAGATATGAAATTTATTTGTATATTGAATTATAAAGTCAAACTATGTAAAGAAATTCATCATTTTTATAATTTCTATTAAAACGCAATTAAATCCAAAAACGCATTTGATAAGAAATATCTCTGCACACTGGTTTCTAAATATATTTTTATTATTTTGTTGAATAAAAATGTTCTTTTTAATAAAATAATATTATTATCAAAGATTAATCTATGTCATCAGAGATTATAAGCGACTTGCAGGTGATTGATTGCAGGATTTTTCGAGTCGACCACCCGGCGGCCAAAACGTTAATCTCCCAATCGCGCGTTAAATCCGTCCCGGTTTCACCCCGTGAGCTGGACTGCAAACAACAGTTCATAATCAGGTGAGTGCATTTGCGCCCAAATACAAATTAACAATTTCGGAATAACGTGGGATAAACGTCGAAATCAAACTCGACACACTCAACGGATGCGAAACAGTAGATCTTTCGTCGGTGTGAGGAAATTCTTCGATTTTGGGAATCGATCACAGGCACACACAGTTTCAGTCAACACCCGCTGATATTTCTAGGTAAATATGAACCCCACATCTACACAGGCGCGCGCCCGATCACGTTGCATACCGATCGCTGACTGTACAAAAAAAAGAGAGAAATCCCAACAGGCAAGCGATGCACGTCGGCCGTCGACCCAAATGGGTGCTGCATTTGCAATCAGCGTCCGATATCCGAGCGTGCTAAATTTGAATCGTTAATATCGCGCAGCGACACGTCGTCATTATTCCAGAAAGATGACTCTAATCTATTTCCGCCGTCTCGTTATAGGTGTAGGGCCGACTGTATGTATGTACGTTTGCTGATTCGTATCTTCGATAGGGACGCCGTCGTAGTTAACTATGCGCAGTGGCGAATCTCTCCCGGCCGACTCGCCGTCGCTATCCGTGACAACTCCTCGGCGTGTCAGACTTAGTCTATGAAAGCAGCACCGGCTGTCTACATTAGGATAAAAGCCGGATTATTATACCTACCCGCCCGTGTGTTCTTGAACGAGAACAGATAGAAGGGAATGTCAACAGGAAAATCATGACGAATATCTCGCGTACGCTTCTGATAACAGTGCCTGATAACCGATACGCGAATCCACCCGTTCCCGTTGTTGCTATGAGCCATGACTGATTAATTCACGTTGATTTTAATTCCCCCGCCGACGAGCCGAAAAGCCCGGAACATACCGAAGCGTGGAACGACGAGTCGCTGTGGAAATATCGCGATATTTTGTTGGACAATTCAATTAACATTATTGGTTTATATTATAGCATTATAATTAGAATACACCGTTAAAAAACTGAATGCGTATATGAAGCGCGTATGAAGAATGGAACCGATGCAATATTAAAATACAAATTGCGTAGTATATCAGTTATAAATAATAAATAAATAAATAAATTTTCAATATAGATAAATTTTTAGTTGTAATTCTACGTTGTACTATGCACATTTTGCGGCCATACAGCTCTCGGTGACTTTTGGATGAAGGACTTTTGGACTTCCGGATTAGCGTCGAAGAACAGCTTATGCTATCTGCTACATTCTTACTTACAATAGATTAATGCAAATTCAAAGCTATTATTATTTTAATGTATGCATACGTTAAGTATGTTAATTTTAAAAATAGTTCAGAACCGGAAATAGTTGGCGCAATTCCAACCGGCACTTAATGTGTTAAATGTGAACTAAATAAATTTTATTTGTAAATCGGATAAAAGGTATAAAGTAGATACGATTTGCTTTTATAATAAACAGATAAAGCATTAGAAAATATTTGTATAAAAAGTAAACAAATGTTGTTGTTAACATTTAAAAACATAAACAAGCTATTTTGTTTTCCCCGATTTTGCCTGTCACATAAATAATTTGAATACGCCCAATATGAAAATTCTGTTTCTACTTTTAATAATACCAAGTAAAATAGTTTATAACATTTTAAATTAAATAGTATTAAATATAAAAACTTTTTTAACATGCAAAATTTAAAACTTTTGGGTCACAGAAGTTTTAAGACTTTTATCAGAGTTTTATCACATATCGTTCCTTTTTTATATAAAACAGTAAATTAACTCTGCAGAGAAAACACCACCATATCTCGTCGCTTACGCACCTTATATTTGCATATATATATATATATATTTATTTATATGCACACGAGACACAATTATTTTTTTAGAATCTGCTTAAGTCGTGCTTGCAAGTGTAAAAACAACGACTTCATTATGTCGCGAAAAAGATTTACGGTATTTTCACGAGGTTAATATATAAGTTTTGTACATCTGGTATTAATAAACCTATGCAAAGCTAACTTCAAATTATTACAAACTTCTTACGTAATTATCTCTAAAGTAATTTAAATATTACTTTTGATCTATACTGCAAGTCATATCACCACAAGTAACAAAGATCTCCAAACTTATGTTAATGTATGAATATCAAATGACAGAACGATTATTCAATAATGTCAACTTCGGAAATTATATGCTTCTGTAACTTTACTAATAATAAACTCATTCATTTCCGAATTTTTAATATAACGGTTATCTCGAAATTTTGTAATATCTATTATTATCTTTATTTGAATTTTAACTGTTTATTTATTTTTGAAAGAGATTTTGGTTTTTTGCCAATAAAATTTATAAGAAAAGGATTAATAATAAAAGATAAATGATTTATTTTCTAAGATCGTTCTTAGCTTAATGACACAATTGTGTTGACGACCGCGGCTCTTGTTTCAAATTATAATGAAACCGCTAAGGACACTCAAGCACTTAGGTAATCAAATCAAGATCCTCACAAGACCACGATGCGCTCTCTTATTGCAACCATCGCTGTTATAGTCCAATTATTCGTAATTGGTCAATGTGATTTCTGCAAATCTGCCCAAAGCAAATTTCATACTTCTGTAGATATCGCTAAACAAAACGTTTTGACTCATCATTATATTATGTGTTATGAATAATAATCAAATAATAATTTTTATTTATGATCTAAAATTTTTTATCGATGTATAAAATATATAA